GTATCGTGTGACCATCTGTTCTGGGCACAATGAGCAAGGCCTCATGCCACCTCCTGTTGCTCAGCAGGGACTGGATGACATGGGGTGGCTTGCTCATCTCCTGAGCACTAGCACCCTGGCCTAACCACATGGCACAAACTACCCACCCCAGCCTCTCCCTGCTGCCTGGAGTGCCCTGCTCTGCCTCCAGCCTGCGAGATCCACTCCTGAGCGCCATCTGCTGAGGTGGGGACTGGGTAAGCCCACCTGGGACTGTTCAGGCCTCAACTGGAACCAGGCTGGTGACAGTGAGTGCGTGGAGACAGTGAGGGGAAAGGGCCAGTGCAGCTGAGGCAGGAGGCTGCTGCCCTGATGAGGTGGGGTCCCTGTAGGGGAGGGGAAGAGGCAACCTTGGAAGGCTCCATCCAGATCCAGCATCAGCTGTGCTCAGGACAGAGGTCAGCAGATCCCTCTGCCCACTATGCTCAAGGGGCATCCTGAACCTCAGAGGCAGCCTTAGGTGTATCCTTAACTCTGTCTTGGTAGCACAGAGGGGGACTCTGAGGCCTTTTCTGAGTTGACAGTACCACCCAGGTATCAGAGGCCCAGGATGGGACTCCGGAGAGCATGGGTAGGCTAAAGTCCATCCCTCAGTGCTTACAAAACACTGATGCAGGCTATTGTTTCTGGGCCTTGCAAGAACTACATAGTAAATATTATCATCTCCACCCACACATGGGGACCTATACCTTATCAGGGCTGCAGTCCTGGCCTCAGCAGCCTCCCTGTCTCAGCTGCCCTGGTCCCTTCTCAACCCTGCGCTCTCACACACACTGTCGCCAGCTCTTTCCATCCCCATCAGGAAACAGATTCCCAAAGCAATGAGACTTGGCCTTGTTCACGCAGCCAGATGTTTGTTCAGCTCCTATTTGTTCCACTACACTGTGATTAAGACTGTCCTTCAAGGACTCACTGGAGACTGTCCTTCAAAGACTCGCTGAACCTGGGCCGGTGGGGTGCCATCAGGCAGTGTGAATTCCAAGGGCTGCTCCCAGGCAGCCTTCTGTCCTCGACTCCTATGTCCTGTCCCTCTGGTAGAGCCCTGGCCTGCTGCAGGCAGGGATCCAGTGTTGCAAAGCCAGCCCAGCATAGGGCTTCCCTGAGGAAGGTCCAAAGACTGGGGCTTTCAATTCTTCTGCTCTGCTGCCTCACTGGGAGCAGCCCTGGGCTCCTCTGCCAAACCCCAGCTCTCTGGCCTGCTCCAGCTCGCTCATCAGCCTGGAGTCCCACAACCCCAGGGCGCATGCTGGATCCTCCCCTGCTCAACCTGGGCAGTCACCAGGGGTCCTTCCCTGGGATGGTCCCCAACTAGCTGAATGCCCTACTGACTCTGTCTTGAAGTTCTAAACAATCATGGAAAAAGGGGGCCTTCATTGATATTTTGCATTGGGTCCCCCAAATCAGGTAACTAGTCTTGCCTGGACAAGTTACTTCTCTGAGCCTCAGGTCCCCACCTGCAAAAGTGCCCCATGGGTGAGGCCTGCTGAGGTGAGTGGCTGACAAGTGCTTTGTCAGGTGCTCAGGGGTAGGCAGGGCAAGGTTTGCTGTCATCATTGCTCCAGAAGGAGCAGGAAGATCTTTAAGGGGAGCCCTGGCAGCTCTCATCTAAAGTCGGGGTATAGGAGAGATGGGGCCCACAGAGTCTGAAAGGAAATTCTTCCTTCAGATCCTAGGAGAACTCTCTGAGGCTTAGCTTTGCTCTCTTCTCCTTTGCCCCACTTGCCCGCAGTTCTGGTGACTGGAGGCAAACCTGCAGTGGGGTGTGGCCTCATGACGCCGTCCTGCAGAACCCCTTTTACCCTCTGGCCCAAGCTCACTCTTAGCCTCTGGGAGGGACCGGAGCTGTGATGCGACCCTGAGAAGGCCTTGAGAAGGAGGTGGAAGGTCCAGAGACCCAGAGAGATGTCCTGCTGCCATCTCCAGCTCACATTTGGGTAGCCTGCAGTTAGATGCCCACTGTAAGAAGGACAGAGCTGTTTTCTGAAGCTCTTGGAGACAGTGGTGATCCAGCACCAGGTTTTGGCAACCTCTGGTCTTGGGGGACAGAGAGGTAAGGCAGCTTTCCAAAGCCCTCAGAAATGGAAGCTGGGCAGTACCCCAGACTAATGGCCACTGAAGGCAAGGGATCCCCTCAGCAGCTCCCAGGAGCCTCTAAGGGAAACCTCCAAGGACAAGATGCTTGGCACCTCCCAGACCAACCTTCCCTAACTGCAGATTTCAGTCCCCCACAAAGGACCTGAGTGGGCTTCAGTCTTGCTCTTTATACATATTGCCTTTGGTAGCAGAACCTCCGTCACCTCAGAACAGCACTGCTAATGTGGGCGAGGCAGGAACTGCCCCACGCCACCATGTTGTAGCAGAGGCACTAGAGGCCCCAGCACACGACAACCTGCTCATGGTCCTAGGAAGGCAGAGTGGAGGACAGGCCAGCTGCCAGACTGCTCCCTGCACTCACCTCCCCGCCCAGCACAGGTCTGGTTCAGAAAAGCCCTGGGGAGCATTGAAAGTGAGGCCATGAGCTAGGGGAGGAGCCTGGGAAGCTGTGGAATCTCAGAGGACTGTGGTGGCCTGGTCCCAAATGGCAGCATGAAGAGCAGGGGCTGGATTCCAGAGATTTTAAGGAAGCAGCAAGAGTGGGCCCAGGGGTGCCAGCAGGTGAGGGAGTGTTCTGAACGGGGTGGAGCAGGGGCTGCAGGAGGAAGGGGGAGTTGAATGCAGTGGGCAGCAGGTCTAGGCACAGCTGCCTGGGTCCCTGGAGCCTCAGCTGGAGACAGATTGAAGGCCTGCTGGTGAGTCACTGCTCTCCTGGCACTGTAGAGTGGGACCAAGCTGATACCTCCAGTGCTGTCGCTCACTCTGCACAACCTTGGCCCCACTCCTGGTGGGGGAAGCATTGGGCCCAGGAGCTCTGAAGGCCAGGGCAGGAGACAAGAGGTAGAGTAGGGCCTGGCATGCAGTGACCACCATGATGGGGCACTGGCAGCAAGAGGGATCTGCACCCAAGAGTGGCCTACCAGCCCCCAGATGCTGGGGTACTCAGAGACTCTCACTCAAAGCCTAAAATTTATGCACCAGCCCCTGGCTGGGGCTACTCAGAGAAACTGAAATCACCCAGTGGGGGAGAGAGCCCTGCAGTGGGGTCCAGAGAAGTGGTGGACATCCATGCTGGCCCAGCCCCCTCCCAGCCTCAGACTGCCCAGTGGGCAGGTCCTCAAGACCCTCTTGGGTCTGAAGGGTCGAGTTACAAGTGCCACCAAGGGGAAGAACATACCAGCTGTCAGGTATGTCCATTTCTCAAGAACATAATCACCAGGGCCCCACCCACTTCCAGCAGCACAGAGAGACCAGGCCTGGCCCAGCCCTCAGTGCCTGCTGCTGACTCCTAATGCCCCCTACCTCAGAGCCTTAACAACCTGCACCTGCAAAACGGGCAGGTTCTCAGCCCCCCTCCATCAAGGGCCATCACACTTGGAAGGCTGAAAGGGCTCTTCGGGGACACTGGCACTGCTGTGGGCTGGGAGGCAGGATTTCCTGGTCTGGCTTTAAGCCCAGGAGAGGAAACGCATAATGAGCAGCCACTGCCTGGTGCCTTCAAGACTTGATCTTCACCTCAGCCCTGGGAAGGAGGCTTCCCCAGGTGTGGGCCAGCTGTGGCCCCAAGGGAGTCTCCCCATAGATGGTCCCGTGAGAAGACGAGAGGGCCAGAGCAGGCCTGGTGCCAGGCAGAACTGGCCGTTGGGACCCAGGCCCTGGGCTGCCCCAGGGCAAGGAAGAGCTGCAGCCTTCTCTCTGAGGAGGGAGGAGGTGTGCAGCCAGGGCCAACGCACCGCAAAGACCCCAGGGAGGTGGGGGGGCGGGGTGTTCACAGAAGCTGCCAGGGCCACCAGGGCACTGAGACAGACCAGAAAGAGCTCAGGGCCAAGGAGACACCTTTCAGCAAACTACAGCCAGCCCCGAGATGGCAGTGGGAAGTCACTAACCCCGAGGCAGGCGGGCAGCTCTCATGCAGGTAGCCCCAGCAGCAGGACGCCCACCCTGGAGGCCCTGCAGAATCACATGCTCACCCTCAAGGTGAAGGTCAAAGGACGGGCACCATGAATCTAATTAGCAGCAGGGACTGCTGGCAACCGTACATTCATTCTCAAACTTATCCCAGAGGAACACACAGCGGCTTGCAGAACCAAGGAAGGCAGGCCCCCAGGTGAAGCAAGCTGAGGCAGGCCCCCAGGTGAAGCAAGCTCAGGCTGTGCCCTCCAGGCCCTGTACCACAAGATACGAAACCAGGTGGCAAGGACTGAGGTCTGGGAGAACAGCCCCCTGTGGGTGCACTATGGCCTTTCTACAGCCAGTGAGGACCACTCACTGCAAGCCCTGGTATACCCATTGTACCTCAGCCACTCCAGCCTCTGAACTTTTCAGACATGAAAAAAAGCACTAGACAGACTTCAAGTGGAAAAAACCCAGACACCTTTGGTGCACTCTGATGAGAACAGTGGTGGGTCAAGCCTCACTAGGCCCAGGCCCCACAGCCAGGGCTGCAGCCATTCCCCACTGGGGTGAATTTGGCTGCCTCCAGCCACCACCTGCTGGACTTGGAGTCTAAGAGCAGGTGGGACAAAGGTTCAGGAACCTGGCCGTGGGCAGTTAAGTACCAGCCAGGCCAATCTCAGACCCCAGATCGTGGTCTTCAGCTGTCAGCAGTAACCTCTACCCAGTACTGCTCTCTGTCAGGTTTGACGAGCCTCACAGCGACCCCATGGGAATGGATCGCATTCTCCCATTTTATAGATGGGGAGCCTGAGGCTCAGAGAGGCAGCACAGGTTCCTTAGAGTCCCTTAGCAGGAGTATCAGCCAGAACTTGAACCCAGCTCTCCTATCTCACAGGAGATCTCCCCATGGCTGGGGAAAACTGGTAGCTTTTGCCCAAGGAGACTGAGCATCTCTGTCTTTCCCTCCCCAGAGACATGCGCAGTCAATAACGGAGGCTGTGACCGGACGTGCAAGGACACAGCCACTGGTGTGCGATGCAGCTGCCCGGTTGGATTCACACTGCAGCCAGACGGGAAGACATGCAAAGGTCAGCACAGGGAGTATGCTGGTGTGTCCCCACCTGGTCTCTGAGCCCCATGTGGCCACAGAATAGGGGAACTCAGCAGTCACTCACCTTGCTGTTTGGGAAGGTCAGGAGAAGGGAGGGTCCCAGCAGGGGCCAGAGAACACAGGTGTATGGCACTTCCATAGATTCCTGGATCAAAAGTGCCTTTACTCTGGAACTCCCTGGGGGCAGAGGTGCTGGCCCAGATGCTGACCTGTAGTGGGGGTGGTTCTCAGAACAGATGGGGACAGCCCAGCTCTGGGCTGTTTGGGAAGTGTGTGTGTCATTATGTATCACTGTAGGAAATTTGTAAGGGGATTTGTGTGAGTTCTGTGCTTCACTGAAGGAAGAAGGATGCAGAGGAACTTTGTCATAGAAAAGGAACAGGTAGCTGAAGATGGAGGAAAGGGCCGGGGGGCGCAGTGAGGGAAGGGGAGCTGCGGCTTCCACAGAGAGAGGCTGGGCTCCAGGACCAGCCTGTGTGGGGACCAGCTTCCCACAGCAGGGCCAGGCCAGGCAAAGGCCGGGGGGGGCCATTACAAAAGCCCAGGCCTGACTGGCAAAGCCGCACACAGAAGGGGACAGCAGCCGGGCTGCCCTCAGGCGCCTACCCCAGCCCTGACCAAGGAGGGCCTCGAAGGGAGCAGAATCTGGAGAGTTGGCCAGCGAATGTTTAAGACAATTTAAAACTGACTGAGGTGGGCTATTTTTAAGTCTGACAAAGTAGCTTCTTCCTTCCTTGCCCCCTTGCTAGGAAGAGCTGCTAATTATGACAGCAGAGGCAGATCTGCCAGCTGTTGATGTGAAGTGAAGCCCTCTGTAGCCGCCGCTTGGCCTGTCAGTAGCCCTGATGTGTTCCTGGCAGGGTTGTGGGCAGACAGGTGACATCTGAGTCCTCGCCATGTGGACTCAATGCCAGGAGTGAGTGGCCAGGGAGCCAGAGGTCCGCGCAGATCTGGGCGTCCTCAAGGCCCAGTAATGTCACCTGTCCAGAGATCCAGGGCCTGGAGAGGTAGAACCAGTCCTCACTGCCTTGCCAGGAGGTGGAGGCTGAACTGGGAAAGGGGGCCCTGCAGGGCTGAAGTCCTGAGAGCAAGGCTGCTGGAAGGAGAGCTGGAGCCAGCTCACCACTGGGGACCAGAAAGGGCCTGGGGGTCCTGTGGCCCCAGAGGGAGCAGCTGGGAGAGGGACTCCTGCTGCTGCTCCCCACCCCTCTCTGGGATAGCCCAAGGGGGCTGGTGACATTTCCAGCTGTGAGTCCTGGGCAGACCCCAGTCAGTACTGGGTGGGCTTTTATTTTGAAATGGTCCCTGCCACCACCTGGCCAGCAATCTCTGGGCAGCATCTGGAAAAGCAGGGAGGAAACTGCTGCCATCCCCTAGCTCAGGACAACATTTTTGCTTGGGCCGGATGGTGGCAGAGATGGGAAACTGGGTCGAGACTTCCCCACTGATGCTAGGAATGGAGGGGCTCGGGCTGGCACAGACCTGTAGAGTGAGAACAGCTCGACTCAAGGAGGGAAGCCTCAGAAAGCAGATGCCCCCCAGACCCCAGGGTTGGTGACCTTGGGTCCTCAGGCTCTTGCTGGAGAGATGCAGGCAGGGCTGGGGACTTGGCTGGGGCAAGCCCAGCAGGGGATTCCCAGTGATCCCAAGACCTTGGCCTCTGGGGTTTTGGGTTTCACTCCTCAATTCAGGGTGCACACCCTGATCTTGGCTCGGGTCCAGGGAAGAATATCAAAGGAGTGATTTCAAAGTTTCAGTGTTTTCTGGAAGCAAAAAAGTCATTGTCAAGCAAGATAGATCACTGGAGGGGAGATAACAGAGGGTGCGGAAAATCCAGAGCTGAGAGCCCAGGCAGGCGGGGTCCACCAGGGCTGGTGGGGATCCCCGGGGTAGGTGGCAGGGGTGGGAAAGTGGGATGCAGGTTTTAGAGGATCAAGAGGACTTGCCCCCAAGCCCAGGCTTTATTTCAAGGGGGTGGCCTGGGCTGGGTTCAGTCTCAGTTTGGAGCTGGGTCCCCCTGTGCTATTGGGGGGGCGGCCTCCTGATGCTGGAATCTCCCCAGAGGGTAGAGTTCTGAGCTGCGCCGATTTCCCTCAGGGAGACCCCTCCTCCACACACCTTCAAGAACAATCTAGGAGAATCCCCACCCACTGCTGCTTCCCTGTGCCCTGGGCCAGACAGGCCACCTGCTGGGACTTTTATCTGTGTGGGAGCAGAGGTGCCCTCACCTGCCCTCCACCTGCCAGCCCACATCCTAACTCTCCCTCTGCCCCTCCCAAAAGCCCTTGTTCATGGGCTCCACAGTGTGCCAGGATGGCAGAAGGGAACAGAAATAGCCATCCTGTGCATTCCGGTGGCACAGTCCTCACCTGGCAGGTACCCCTATACCCACACACCTGTGCTCCATCGTTGGGTGGTACAGTCAAGTGGCTACTTGATGGGCCAAGGTCCCACCCTTCCTGGACCCTCAGGCCCTTTTCTGTTTCTGGATCACCCTGTCTCACCTCCTGGCTCATCTGTTCATTCAGTCGCTCACTCTGGGCCCAGGGTGCCAGACAGGAATAGGTACCCACCTCTGTGGTCTAGTCCCAAGGCTGTCTCCTGCCCCCGGGCAAGCCCTGTGACTAGGGAGAGATGGACTCTGGAGGGAAGGACAGGAAGGCTGGCCAGAGGAAGGTGGAGAGGCCCTGCAGAGGGCCAGCAGGTGAGAGCCAGCTGCAGTGGTGCAGCGGGTGGCTAGAGCCTGGGCTGCGCAGCAGAGGCCAAGCCTGCCCAAGAGAGGAGCTGCGGCGGGCAGGCCAGGCTGCAGAAGAAAGGCTGTGACCACTGCCAAGGGCTGGCCTTTACCCAGGAGACCCAGAGGCCCCCACAGACTTGTCAGCAGGTAGGGGCATGGCCAGATTTGCTGTGGAAGGTGGAGGGTGTGTGGACACAGTAGAGGATGGGAAGGGGACAGAGGACCTGAAGTGCCTCCCCAGTGTTGGTTCATCAGAGGTCAAGGGACCTGGGAGCCCAGCACCCCCTTACTAGATCCTGGTAGAGAGGAGGGGCACCCCCACATCCCTCCAGGCAGCCAGCTACTCCAGCCTGGGCCCAAGCACACATGCCTCCCTCTGCCTTTCTGGTTGCTGTGACACACCCTGGCTGGACAGATTTGGATGGGGAAGCGGAAGGGGTCAGAAGTCTCAGGAGGCCTGAGGCGTTCTTGAGGAGGCAGGGGTCCTGATAATGACCACAGGACAGCCCCTGTCTACTTAGCGGAGTTGGCTTACTTAATTCCACTAATGGCGCTAGGGGAGGTGCTGGTGGACATCCTAGTTTGTAGATGGGGAACCTGAGGCTCAGAGAGGTGTCTTTCCCTACGCAAGGTCACACAGCTGGCAAGGCAAAGACAGGCCTCTGCTTTCCTGCCTGAGGCTTTATGCTAGAAACTCCCAATTTTCCTGGAACCTGGGGTGGAGACACCTCAGCTCAGGCCACAGCTCATTTCATGTCTCTCTGGTGGCCACAGGGCCGGCATGGTGTGCTGGAGAAAGCCATCCTTGAGATAGACGGTGCTGGTGGAGGTCAGCTCTCACCTGTAGCCCTGTGACCACATTCTATGAAAACAGGGCTCTGCTCCTCCCACTTGTCGTGGGGCTGGAGGGAGATGCCTCAGGAAGAGCTTGGTTCAGGCACCTCCCCAGGCTCCCAGGGTGACCCCAGGGAGGGCTAAAGAGGGCTGTCCTCTAACATGCAGGAGCAGTGTCCAGAGCTGCTGGGAGCACTCCATGGGAATGATGCCTGGGGACGTGGGCAGGCGCCCGTCGCCTGTCTAGTTGAAGGAAGAAGCAGGAAGGTGGTTGCTGAGGCTCAGCTGGGGTGGGAGCTGCTATGGGAGGAGCGAGGCTCCTGTCCCCCATCTATCAAAGGAGGCAGGCTCACCCTGTCACTGGGTGCCCAGTACACAGGACAGGGCATCCGGCACCAGCCCAGCCCCCACGCTCAGGGTGGGCTCCACAGGTGCTGGGCCCCTGCCTGGCAGTTGTGCCAGGGCGTGCCTGACGACCATAGGGGAGGTCATACATTTCCTGGCTGGGAGGTCTCGGCGCTTCCCTTTTCCTCCTCCACACCAGGGGGCAGTGGGACACAGGGAGGTCGGCATGGGGGCTGGAGACCATGGGCCCTGGAGGAACTTTGAAGAGCCAGAACACAGCTCCTGGAGAAAAGGACCCTCAGGGACAGGGACAGGGGGCCTCTGATTGGCATAGAATGCTAGGCTGAGCTGGAGCCGAGATGAGCAGCTTGAGGGGTGGGGACAAGGGGCTCAAAAGAGTCAGACTGTCTTGGGGCGGGAGTGACAGGCCTCCCTGAGGTGTCAGCAGCAGCCCACACTGTGAGAAAGAACTCTGTCATTGAGGTGCATGAGCTGTGGCCACCTACTTAGCAGTGTTGCCTGCCACTCATTAACTATTGACAGAGAAACAAACAAACAGGCGCAGCTCACACCCCGCCCCCCCCTTTAGCAAAAGGCTCTCGCACCAATACTTGACCCTCTGAGCCTCAGCCTCCTTACTCAAACAGGCCATAAAACCTACTTTTTAAAGTGTCCTCACAGCTGACTGGGCTCCAGCGCTTGGCAGCAGGACTCCAGGTCCCCCTCATTACATCTTGCACGAGGGCAGGGGTCGGGGCACTTCTTACCCGTCTCCCACCAGGAATCCAGGAGCCTGCTCTGGTCACCTGAGGTGGTCCCTGTTCCAGCCTCACTGCCCTCCAGCCACCTCCCTGGAATTATGGGTTGAAGGACAAGTGGACATGGCTGCCCTGTCTCACCTGGCACAGCAGATATCAGCTCCTCTGCACAGGGCATGATGCCAGGCTCACCAGGTCTTACGGGGTGAAGCCTCAAAGGCTGGGCCCTCACAGTGTACTCCAAGCCCTGTCCCACACTTGTGGGCCAGGCCCCATCCTGTGGTCAGCTGGAGTGCAAGCCCTCTGGGCAGGGGCCTCAGGCCAGCCAGGCAGCTAGGGAAGGAGGGTGCTGCCCCTCCCTTAAGAGCAGGAGCCCATTCCCCTCGTCTTGTTCCTCCCCCTCATCCCTGCAGATATCAATGAGTGCCTGGTCAACCATGGAGGCTGTGACCACTTTTGCCGTGACACTGTGGGCAGCTTCGAGTGTGGCTGCCGCAAGGGCTACAAGCTGCTGACGGACGAGCGGACATGCCAAGGTGAGCCCATGCCAAGCCTGGGCAACCCCTCCCCATCGGGTCCCAGCAGATCAATGTCCCTTCCCTCCTGGGCTCATACAGGCTCCTAGGCAAGAAGGTGAGCGCGTGGATGTCCACTCTGCCAGCTGGGCCTGAGAGAATGGGCGTAGATCTCCAGCCCTTGGCATGTGCTTCTGTCCACCCTGACTTCCTGTTCTTTGTTTCTTGGGGCATCCAGACCAACCAGTCCCCTTTATAGATGAGAAACTGAGGGCTGGGGAAAGATCCAGCAGCCCTCCCCTGCCCTCCCTTAGTATGGGGACGGCTTTGGCCTTAGCGGTGGGTGCTGCCACCTGCTGGAAGGCATTGCACAGGCACTCTCCCACAGTCACCTGCTAGGGAGAATGATGGACGGCATGAGAGGGCTGGGCAGAAGCCCAGGACCCCAGTTTATGACAAGTCCAGCCACCGTCCAGGATGAAGTGGGAGCCCAGAGGGTGGGCAGTGGACAGGGGTGGTTCAGGGAAGGCTTCCTGGGGAGGGGCCTTTGGTAAAGTGCTAGGAGGAGTGGCATCATCACCTACCCAGGAGATGGCACTGTTGGACCACAGGAGCTTGGTGGGGTGTCCTGTGGGACCAGCTTTGGGAGAAAGCGCAGAGGGAGGCCTGCTCTTGGGTTGTGCACTGGTTGTTTTGGCCGTGTAGTGCACATGAGGACTCTGTCGCCAGGTTCGGTTTTGGGGTCTGCAGCTTCTGCCTTATGGGTGCAGCTTGAGGGCCAGCCTGACCTCAAGCTCCCCATGTTACCAGTGCAGTCACTTCTTTTCCTAGGCTCTGCCTCACTGTCCCTGAATGGGCACCAGGGGCCCATCTTCCTCTCAGGGCATGAGGGCCAGTCAGGAGCATGGCTTTCATCCAGGCCCCATCGGTCCTCCTCTGTGCTTTCTTTGTTTCTGGGTCAGCTTTGCCAAGTTCAGTAGAGGGCTGGGGGGCCCTTGACCTTGCATGCCCAGCTGCCCCTGAGAGAGGAGGGGAGATGGCACATCTTCTTCTGGGCTCTGGGCTAAGTTCCTGTGCTCACTTGCTCCCCACTCTGCCTGTGTCTCCACCCTCTTCCAGGTCACCTGAGGTTGGGGCCCTGGACCCCCCCAGATACAGCAGAGAGGGGTCCAGTCCCCTGTGGTGCTCAAGGCTCTCAGGACAGGAACCCCGGGCATCTCCCCAGTCCTCCCTTGACCTTACACAACGTGCAGGCACCCTGTACTGCCACCTCAGCCTCTGCCTGGAGCACCCTTCCTCCATTCCAAGTTGGCCCCATCCTTCAAGGTCAGGGGCCACAAATACCAGGAGCTCTTCTCAGATCCCCTGGGAGGGATCGCATCCCCCTTTGAGGGTCCACAGCTCAGTTCCTCCTTGCATTAGTGCTCTCGTGAATGTGCATACATCATGAATATGATGTGCATACATCACGTGAGCAGAGGGACTCAGAGAACAAACTCAATCACTGTGCTCCCAGGGGCTCAGGCTGATATTGCCGTGCCCGCCAAGGCCCATCAGCTGCCCCATAGGAGCCATTTTCCTCAGAATTTATGTCTAGGGTAGACTCACCTCCTGGGAGCATCTGGCTCATTTCATCCCTTCCAGTAGCAAGCAGTTGGTGATGCTCCCTTTTCCTCAGCCACCAGGAAGCTCATGATCAAATGTCACATATGATCAGAGTCTTTTTTTTAGTCTTGTGGGTAGCGCATTCCCCTACTTATTTGTGCTATTTTCCTTATTTTCTCAAGAAACTTCTTGGGTCACTTTGGTCAGCAACCAAGAGGCCTGGGTTCATGTCCCATTCAGCTTCTTCCTTGGGGATCTTAGGCAAGGCCCAATCATTTTCCTTCCTGCAGGTGAGATTAAACACTTCTAATCACAGTTGAAACTGAGATGTTAAAATGGCAGAGTCAGAATCTCTTCTATTCAAATAGTTCTGCTGCTCATCTCTGGGAGAGACGCAAGGTGGCTTCTAACCCATAAGCAGGGTTAATGGCGGCTCAGTGGAACGTCAAGCAGCAATGAGAGTCTGACATTTGCTGAGGGCTGGCTCTACACTGAGCCTCAGCACCCAGGGACTGTCCTCGCACAGATGCGTGTCATGTGGCTATTTGTGATGGGCATGCCCACCCACCATGTGCTGAAACACTCCCCTATATTGTCTCCTTGTGGCCACACAGACATCGACGAGTGCTCCTTCGAGCGGACCTGCGACCACATCTGCATCAACTCCCCGGGCAGCTTCCAGTGCCTGTGCCACCACGGCTACACACTCTATGGGATGACCCACTGTGGAGGTCTGCAGCCCACCTGCCAGGGCCACCTGCCCTTTGAGGCATGCACCTGACTGCACAGCTACCTGCACTGTACCCCACACCGTGACCTTGACACTGTTGGGAAAGGGCTTAGCCACAGGCAGATCAGGGGAAGCCAGAGGAACAGAGAGGCAGGAAGGCCAGCGGGTACCTGCTGGGTGCCACACTGGTGCCAGCTTAAAGGCAAAAGCCTAGAAACTGCACCTACTGGAGAACCCCAGTCCAGCAGGGGGTGGACCACACAGAAACTCCCACAGTGTGTTCTAGTGGGAGAGAGGCAATGACAGAGAAGAGCAGTGTCAAGACCATGGGGACCCCAAAGGAGAATGTGTGGGCTGAGAAGAGGTGTCACTGATCCCCAGAGGGATCAGTGTTTTCTGAAGTCCCGAGGCTGAGGGGCAGAGGCAGCAATGCGGCTGGAGCCCTGGGGCTGAGGGTGCAAGGTGGGGAGCAGGCAGGGAGGTGCTGGCCTGGACAGCATAGGGCTCTGTGAGCCCAGAGGGGACTTGAGGTCCTGTTCCCCCTGTGATGAGACACCTTCAGAGGACTTATGCAGGGCAATAACAGGACCAGGTTACGTAACCAGACGCTCTGGCTACCATGTGGAAAGGAGCGTGGACTCCAGAGTGCCTTGGGGAGAGGCCCCAGGCTGGGAGCTTGAGGAGTAAGGCAGGGCACAGGGCTGCAGAGAAGGTTCTAGATATATTTAGGGGCCAGAGATGAACCGAGGGCTTCCTGGGGCTTCCGCTCACTGGTGTGCAGATAGGCTGAGTGTAACAGAGCAGGTCTACCCCTGCTGCCCAGCACCAGCGGGAGATTTGGTCAGAGGAGGAAGGGCCTTGGCAGTGCTACTTTTACCCTGGTGCCTACTGTGCAAGTGGGAAACTGAGGCCGGGAAGGGGCTTGTACAGTCCCCTGGTGAGATCAGGCCTCATGATCACTGGGCCAGTGCTGGCTCCCGGCCCCACCAGGCTGGATGGAACTTTTAATTGTGTGCCACCTCCTCAGCCAGGTCCCTGGAGAAGGGGTGCATTTGGATGTCCAGGAGGGATCCGTGTGTGTGTGTGTGTGTGTGTGTGTGTGTGCGTGTGAGTGTGATGTTCAGCTACGTGTCTGCGTCAAAAGATGGTGTCAGGCAGGGGTGTGGTCAGTAGCTTCTCAGCCCTCTTGCCCTGACTCCTTGACCCACTTGACCCCCCAGCCCCAAGGATGTGGCCTGAGCTGGCTGATCCAGGCTCCCCTCCTGCCCTTACTCCCATCTGTTCTTCCAGATGTGGATGAGTGCAGCATGAACAACGGCAGCTGTGACCAGGGCTGCGTCAACACCAAGGGCAGCTATGAGTGTGTCTGCCCACCTGGGAGTCGGCTCCACTGGAACAGGAAGGACTGTGTGGGTGAGTGGTGGCAGGGCTGGGGGAGGGTGGGGAGGGGTCAGGAGGAAGGGGAGAGGGCTCTTCCTTTGGGCCATGGGCTCGGCAGTGGTCCTGTGCCAGGTCAGTGTGGCTGATGGGAGTGAGGCTTACCAAGAGGTGAGAGCCAGGTACAGGGGAAGGGCCAAGCAAGAGATCAGTGACAGCCAGGGGCCGGGGGGTGCCTAGGTGCTGGAAACTTGGGCAGAGGGAGTGTTGGCCTGCCTTGCCCAGCTCCCCCCCATCCTGCTGGGAAGCTGAGGGCGCAGGCGTGGGTCACTCAAGTGCAGCAGCATTGGAGCCTGGACCAGGGAGAGGGTGCCTGCCTGTTTGCCAGCCTCCTCCTGCCCCGCTCCCAGCTCCACTGCAGCTCCTGTGTTCCGCGTGGCTGCCCCGGCGCCAGGGGGCCTCTAGGCTGAGCTCTAGATGACCCCAACTAATTTGTTCCACAAATACCTTCTCACTGCCTGTCAGCCAGGGCCTGTATGCACTGTGGCCTGCCCCCCTGGGCTTTGCTCTCTGACCCTGTGCCCCGCCACACTCTGATGTCCCCAGACAGAGCAAGCCTCATGACTCGAAAGCAGGAGATCCCTCTATGTTCAGATGCCTCCAGCAACCCCTTCTTCCCTTCACTCAAAACCACAGTTTGTCGAGTCACCTCCCGCTCATTTGCTCCATGCCAGCCTCACCCAGTGGCAGCCAACCCCCATGCTGCTCTCACCCCACCTTGGAAGGAAACCTGTGCTGGTCTCCTGTTGGCCTGGAGGGCTCCCCCAGCCCCTCACTGGCCCTTGCTGTGGTATCTGCTCAGCAGGGCAACCTAACCACCCTCCACAGCAAACAGCCCAGCCGCCTCTGACCCACTCTGGTCCCCTGGCCTTCTGCTCTCCTGTTGTCCCATTGCTCTTGGAACCACCAGCCAATAATTGTATTGTATAGGCTAGTGTGGGCTTGTGTCCGCCTGTCTGTCCTCACTAGAACAGAAGTTCTGCACAGTTAATGGGTTTTTTTCTCCTGTGCTAGTCACTGCTGTATCCCAGGACCTGGAACAGAGCCTGGCATCCTCAGACACCAAGCAAACATTTGTTGAATGAGTGAATGAGCAAATTAAAGACTGGAGACCATCACTAGATATCAGAAATCAAAAGGCTGGATTTATCACTTACCCTGTTCAGACAGTGTCTCACTGAGTTGAGCAAACTGCTGGTTTTGTATAGAGTTTGGGGAAAGAACTGTTTGGTGGGGGCAGGGAACATTGGCTGCAGGGCAGGGAGAGGTGATGTCAGTCTGAGGAGCATGGTTTGCTGTTACAAAGGGAAGAGGGGGTCGACAGACAGCCGCCTTGGCAGCTGCTGACTAGTGTGAGTCTTCCCCAGGTGACTGACTGCAAAGCCAAGACTGTCATAGATTGATTGGCTTCAGAGGCTTGTCCTGCCACTCAGTCACAGACCTGCTGGGGCCTCGCTAGTCTTAGTATTTACGAGGAGTCATTGATGCATTGGAGTTGCGCTAGTTCTAGGATTTACTTGTCCTCATCGCTGTAGACTGACCGTCTTCCCCTGAGGCTATGAGGAGGTGTTCTTTGGTCTTATTTCTCTCCATCCCCCTTTTTGTCTTTTTGTCCTCCCTCCCCCAGTCAGAGCACTAGGAGGGACCACCAGGGTGTGTCCAGGTCTCCATGAAGTGTCCCATAGAAGTCT